AAATTCTACCCCTACTTTATATACAATTCTTTGAAATTCGGTCCATTAACAAAAGTCATATACTTATACAATTCTTTGAAATTCGGTCCATTAACGAATGTCATATACAATTCTTTGAAATTCGGTCCATGAACGAATGAGTAGTTCGCGGACAGACAGATAAACAAACAGACAGACAAACAGTCGGGTTTTATATATTATAGTATGATATGATATTCACACGTTATCCACATATCCATATCTCTCAAATAGCCACCAGGGATATCCATTAAATATTCACGTGTCATCTACATATCCATATCCACCAAGTATCTACCACATGTCTACCACAGATATTTATTAGTTCGTAACGACGCCGCTAAGCGGCGCATAATGGTAAGACCAACTCGTAAGTAAATTTCTGTTGGAAGCGACTATAAGCAGGTCCCCGGCGAAGCAAAATCGCGACATCCGCGGGTCTTCGGACCCGGCTCCTCTTTTAAATCTAGAGGAATAATATTTTTGAGATGTTGATTCAACGTTTATGTGCTTTATGGGGTTCTATTTGTATATAATGGACATATATAAAAATAAAAAACTTTGAATAAATATCCACGCAAATATCTAATCAATATCCACGAGACGTGCAGTAGTTATTTATATAAATATCCATTTGATATTTAATGGATATCTATTGGATATCCCCGTGGATATGTAATGAATATCTATTAGATCTCGTGTGGCGGACATCTGGATATTTAATGGATATCTATTAAATATCTCGTGGATATCATGGATATACATTGGGGATTTTTAACAGATATCTTTTAAATATTAATGTCTGTGTGAGTATGTGCATAACACGTGGATATCTAATAGATATTTTTGATAGATATTTTGTGAAACATTGATATGTGGATAACATGTGGATATTTAATAAATATTTTTGATACACAGTTGGAAGAGGGTCCAGTTTGGGCCCCGAATGAACAGTGTATTATTCGCGGGACGGGGAAGGGAAGGACAGAGATTATACTCGCGAATAACGGAAAACGTGCTCTTTATTATGCTTCCGAGCCGAGAAGCCGACGTGGCGGAACACTCGACTACTCGCGCTGTCGTCCTCCGCGGTACTTTTTCCTAACCCCGACAGATGTCGCTCTCTACACGCCCGTCGGCGACTGTCCCATTGGCGCGGCTAACTTGAACGGCACCATTATACAACATCTCCTCTTCCTGAGTATTGTCCCGCTCTATTTCGAGGTGATTTCGGGCCACCCAGTGTTTCGTAGCCCACCCGGCTAACCTTTTTACAGTCGCGTACGGGGTACACCTTCTTCTCAGGTAATTGGGGAATTTGGTCGATAGCGTCCTTCTTTAGAGCAGGTAATGCGGTAACTCCTGTTTTACGACTGATGAAAGCGGCTTCTTCGGCGCTCTGGGTTTTTCGGGCGATTGTGGTGGGATAAGCCACTCCTTCCTATCAAGCGTATCCTTCGACGTATCAAAATATTCCACAGGTGCATCTAGACAATGTAAATGGCTTCTGTTTCGACTATATGTCCCCGTATCTGATCGTATGATATAAGGTCTTGGCTGATCCGCACGTTCCTGGATAACGCCCCAGCGGCGTAAATCGCAAATCCAGACACGGTCACCAACTTCTAGATCATCGCGCTTGCTCTTGTGGTGACGACGATCAAAATTCTTCTTCTGGCGACAAATCCTCTCCTTTTCTTTAGACAGCAGTATGTCACGTTCAATTGTTTTTGGCATCAGTGTAAGGATGGTATAACAGGGAGAAAAGACTTAATTCGCCGCCCCATGGCTAATTCGCTGGGAGAGAAACCGCACTTTAAGGGAGTTGTACGGTATTCTAATAACCAAACGTTAAAATCTTTAGACTTTTCCAAGCCACTTTTTACGGTTTTTACCATTGCTTCTATGAATCCGTTGCTCTGAAGGAAATGAGGAGACGATGTTTCGTGCTCAAATCCATATGTCTTCTTGAAGGTCCGGAACTCCATCGTGCGTAGTGGGTCAAATTGTGTTCTGTTGTCGGATCCTTCAGACGAACAATATGATGATCGCTGATCGTAAATCTGGTAATTGGTACACTTCCGTGTACCGGGAATAAAAGTCTGCAACTAATAGATACCAACTGGCACCGTGTTTGAATAAATCCATGGCGATGATTTGCCACGATCGATCCGGAAAATTAGATGGCTTCAATGGCTCAAATCGCGCGGGCCTGTTTTGTACGCACACCGCGCAGCTGTCTACTAATTGTTGAAGTTCTGCTGATAATTTCGGCTACCAAACGCTGTACCTAGCGCGGGCCCGGCATTTTTCGATGCCCTGATGAGCATTATGAATAGCTTCCAAGGTTTCCTGATGAAGTCCTGTAGGAATGTAGAACTGATCGCCAAATATGATAAACCCCCGTGCCAAGGTGAGATTGGCACGAAAGTCGTAGAAGGGTTTCACTGAAACGCTGATCTGGTCTTTACACGGCCATCCATTTTGAATGTACTTTACCCGACACACGGGATCCTCCACTTGCAAATCCAAAAGTCTTGAAAGTATTGTGTCAGATACTGGAGATTGTTCAAACACGAAGTGAACGTGGGCGGAAATTCCCTCCTGTAGATCGAGGCTGCCCGACATCTTCAATGGAGAGCAGGATAGGTAATTCCCAAGAATATCTTTACCGGCAGTAAATAAACACTCAAAGTTATAGTGCATTAACCGCATACGCATTCTCTGAAGACGAGGCGACAACTCGTCAAGATTTTTTGTCATCAGTAATGGAATCAGTGGCCGGTAATCCGTCTCCAAGTAGAAGAATTTTCCGTAAACGAAGTTGTGGAACCTCTCACATGCCCAAGTGAGAGCTAATGTCTCTTTTTCAATCTGAGCATACCGCCGCTCGGTGTCCGTCAAAGTTCTTGACGCGTAGGCAACAGGACGTAGTTCTCCTGTTTCATCTTTCTGTCGAAGTACGGTTCCAAGTCCGAAGGATGAAGCATCCGCTGATACAACCGTCCGTCGATTTGGATCGAAAATTGCCAGACAGGGAGAACTGCTCAACACCTTCAATACTAATCTAAATGCCTTCTCACAATCTGCTGACCACGAATTCTTCATTACTTCTCAACAGATTATAAATTGGAGTAAGGGTCTCGGACAATCGCGGTACAAATTTTCCCAGGTAGTTCACCATCCCTAAAAAAAATCTAACACCCATAACGTCGTTCGGTGCTGTCAGCTCGGCGATGGCTTGTACTTTTGAAGGATCTGGGCTGATACCATCAGCCGAAATGCGATATCCAAGAAACGTCGTCTTCTGTACACAAAATTGACACTTGTTAACATTCAAGGTAATATTGTTTTCTTTCAAACGATGCAATACAGCGCGAAGCCTGGCGTCATGCTCTTGTATGTTTTTTCCCCACACTATTATATCGTCTATGAGGTTGGCGACTCCCTCTAGACCCTCCAGAATCTGTAAAACTCGTTTTTGAAAGCACTCCGGAGCGGACGAAATTCCGAAGAAAAGTCTGCAGCAACAAAATCTCCCGTATGGGGTAATAAACGTAGTTAGTTTCCTGGAATCCTCACTTAATGGCACCTGCCAAAACCCCGACACACAGTCGAGTTTCGTTATGTACTTAGCCCCTTTCAGCTAGCCCAACGTGTAATCCACGACAGGCATCTGATGGTGCTTGCGTTCCATCGCCTGATTCAGTTTGGTAAAGTCCACGTATAAACGAATGTCATCTGTATATTGTTCTTTTACTAAAACAATACCACTGCACCAGTCCGTTAACTCTTATACTTTCTCGATGACCCCCATTTGCAACATTTCTTCAAGTTTTGCTTTTAACTTCGCCATTAATGTTAATGGCATCCGACGCGGTTGTGATAAACAGAATGGTTTTGCATCTTTACGAAGTTCAATACTGTACGACGTTTTCAAAAGACCCAACCGATTAAACAAACCGGGGAACTCTGTAAAGGGTCTCACCATGCTCTGAGCAGAAACTTGTGAGCACCGCATCACTAGACTCAGTCCGACACATTCACCTTGTCCTAGCAAATTTTGCCATAATCCTTTTACGACAAACACGTTGGCATTCAACGCCCGACCTCCATAACTAAACCTGGTAGTCAACATGCCGATACACTTCAACGAATCGCGAGAAGCACTTTCTAGCTTACGATCCGCGGGGTACAATTTACCAAATGTTTTGTTATGCCGCGTCGCCGGTTGGTGACGGCTTACGGCAAAACGTTTATTATTTTCGGGATCTCTTGACCTTACGAGTTGGGACTCGGTAGGCACAGGCGGGCAGACTAAGAAGCGGTCGGGTTCGCAGGTGGAACGGGGGTGTGGGCGTCGTTAAATGAACTTCACTTCGTTTTACTTTATATTGGAGTTTTATTTCAGCGTCCCTTTTACACTCACTAACTTACACTTGTATTTGCCTTTCACAATTATTATAACTCGCACGCGCTTTGTAAACCTTCGCGACACGACTTACGAACGATCACGGGCAGAGTCTCCGGTGTATTACTCTCCGTCGCGGCTTCTTCGACGGTCCCTTATATTGTTTTGAGTTATGCCCTGTCGGCGCTTTTTTGCCGGGTTCGACGGTCCCCCGAATGAGGTCGGTCAGTGACCGAGCGCATTCGCAATCTCGCTGTACTCCGCGGTTCCGCGATTGTCGAAATGCGTTGTCGCACATTCTTATGCATATCGCAATAGTTCGATTGACGCGGAAGCTTGATGAACTTCCGCGTCCGCGTCAGCGTAAATTGAGGAGTCTTTCGAAAGACAATTTCCTCGAAGTCTTTCGAAAGGCTATTCTATAATTTTATTATAAATAATTTAATAATTACTCGTTGTAATTTTAGATTACAACAGTTTGTTTATTTTCATTGTACGTACTGTCCGTAATCAGAGTCACATCAGCACCGGGGTCCAGTGAAAACAAATCGTAACGTCATCTACCGTCATTTTAGCCCGCCACGGCTCGTCCGACGGAGCCTGTGATTGGCTCACCGTCGCCACAAAAAAACGGGTCCGCACGAGAGTCATCTTCCACTTGACGTACGGTAGTCTTGGATTTAATCTTCTCAGACCTGCCATCTGTCGTTCCGGATTTGCACACTTTCGCCCAATGACTTTCTTTAGCACCTTTATTGCACTTAGAACTACGCGCAGGGCATTCTTCTTTGGTATTCTTCTTCTCACTTCCGCAGCCGTAGCACTTCCATGGCGTGGAATAATTCCTTCCTTTACGAGCTTTGGTCTTGTTTTGCACACGGTTTACCGCCGTTCCGGTTCCCGTCACATCCGAACGTAACAATTGGTTCTGTCTTTGTGCTGTCTCATAGCTTCTAGCTACTTCCACGGCTCTTTTATAATCCAAACCATCGAGAAGCTGCAATCTCTCAGAGAGGTGTCGGTCGGCCACGCCCACGATGATCCGGTCACGAATTAATTGTTCACGGAAATTCTCGTACTCGCACGAATCTGCTAACTTGCACAAGTCTGTAATAAAGTCTTCCATGATCTCCCCCGGGGATTGCATACGCATATTGAACCTCGCACGTTCATAGATAATATTCTTCCTTCCGTTAAAGAAGCCATCAAACTTCTCTCTTACTTTAACAATGTCTTTCGCGTCGGATTTATTTAAATTAAATGAAGTAAAGATGGTTTCCACTCTCGGTCCCATCGCATACAATAGTAAACTTACTTGTTGTTCGGAACTTGTCACACCCGCCACTATGCAATAGCGGTTAAATCTGGATTTATATGTATTTCAGTTTTGTTAAAGTCAAAAAATTCCGGGAGGGTCACTCCCGGCTGCACGATCACCGCCGTCGTGTCGGACATCCTGTCTTCCCCACGCACGAACGATGTTTTTCACACGGACAACTCAAAGTCACGATTCTTTGTTACTCTCTTTCTTGGTGTGCAATCACACACTTTGGCGTAAGTTTGACGGGGAGAGTATGGTTTCCGAGGCGCCCCGATTTGACTGTGGTTTCTGGTAGTATTTTTTACGCTGAACAAAAAATTATATAGGTCTTATAGAGCTAACTGCTCTAGTTTTCGAGATATGCAATATTACTTAAAAAAATAATAATTAGTCAGTTTACACCCCTATAATGTATCACTTGAATTTTAATAAATATAAATATGTATTAAATCTTCGCCTTACTAAACAGATGAGTCTACAATATACTAAAAATATTAATACTGAAAAGATTAGCGAGGCCCCGTACGCAAGGTAGGACGTTTCATTCGAAATGATATTCTTTCGGCGTATAGATTAGTGACGCGCTTTAAAAGTATTTAAGTGTTTAAAGCGCGTCAACTAACCTATGTAGGGCACACATGTGTATGCCCTGCTTTAACGAAAATCATTAAACAGTTAAATACTTTTAAAGCGCGTTACTAATCTACATAGATTAGTTGACGCGCTTTAAACACTTCAATACTCAAAGAGTTTATGTGTTAGAAAGTATAAATATAAAATACGATAATGTATTATATCTAATAATTAAAAAAAGTAAAGATTTATATTATATTTATTTTGAGCTTTAATACTGCATATCTCGAAAACTAGAACAGTTAGCCCTATAAGACCTATATAATTTTTTGTTCAGCGTAAGAAATACTACCAGAAACCACAGTCAAATCTGGGCGCCTCGGAAATCGTACTCGTCCCAGTTCGACGCTGCCACCATGTATTATTCGCGGGATGGGGAAGGAAACACGCGGTCCGCGCGGCTAACTTGAACGGCACCATTATACAACAAACAGTCACGAGTCATATATTAATCGATAGGGGGGTACTCACAAATTATGAAACAGAAAGTTTTAATTGCCTAATTGAAGTCTGGTGACGTACGGACCTAACATAAATTATAAATTATTGAAAAATAAAATTTTTTTATTATTGTGTTAAAGTACTTTTTGAGTCAAACTTTGGTTTAAAAATTTTCGTTTATTTTTTATAGTTTTGAAAATATTCGGCCTGAAAGAGAAAAGCCGATTTTTTTAAAGGGGTGTTTCAGCTCCTAACATGCGTATGGGCACGTGTAAAAAAATACCTGTCCCTTATTTTTGTTTAGAAAATAACATTTTAAAAACTCATCAAAATCGGAGAGGGATACTTCCGTACCTTTTCTTGTTAACCAGGTTAATGAACGGTACCAAATACATTCTAGACATATTATTTCAATGACATATTATTTCTTTGGTACAATTCGTTATCGTCGTCACCGCGGGAAGGCCTGGAGACGCAGAGAAATTGGATCAGACTAGTTGTACATGGTCATAATATGGTCATAATAGTGAACTCTGGACAGCTCTAGCACTCAGGAAACCTTTTACAAAGATGTGCCCATGGAATTTTTTTCCTCTTTTGATGCTCTACAATTCTGGCCATGTCTGATTGTTGTTCACTAGGGGCCCAATTTTTCAAATGAAACTGGACATAGTCCTTTATGTTAAATATAACATAAATCACATGTCCCAAACGGTCCACTCAAATTTTTCTGTTAATTTAACATAATGTAAATATATCAAATTATATGACACAAATATTATGTCTATAATTTAGCACAAAATAAAGAAAAGTTTGATGATATACGTAAACAAAAATTTTATGTACAACAAACATTTATATAATGTTAAATATAAATAAAAAAAATTTTTTTTAACAAAATTATATTATTTTTATGTTAATCTTACGATTACATATAATGTGTTATTTTAACACTTGATTTACTTAAATATAAATTTAACACAAATAAATCAGATAACATAATCAAAATTAGTTAAATTAACACATAAATATGTTACATTTTTAACATAAAAATTTTCACAAAAAACTTTTTTAACAAAAATACACAAAATTTTTTACTGTGTAGATATTTTGTGGACATGGATATGTGGATAACACGTGGATATCTAGTGAATATCTTTGACAGATATTTTGTGGACATGGATATATGGATAACACGTGGATATCTAATGGATATCCCTGCTAGTTGTTTGAGAGATATGGATATTTTGTACATACATCTATTAGGTATCTATTAGATATCCGTAGTAGATATGAACATCATATGGATATGTAAATATCCATTGAATATTTATTAGATATTTTGTTCCGTGTGGGATATTTTAAATAAATGTTTTTATTATTTTATATATAAATTTCCATCTTTTCATTTATATTAAACTAACACCTCACTCAGCTCTTACATACGTGTAAAGTCCGATCCTAGGTTAAAAGGATTAAATTCCTTGACTTAATCTAACCTAACCTAAAGCAGGACCAATGATACGCATCGCTCACGGAAGGCGTCCTAGCGTTCCTAAGGGACGTTGACCTATCCGGAGCTACTGAAAAGTGCGTTCGACTCGCGGGTCGCGCCTCAACAGTGCGTGTACCTGCGAGAGTGACAAACTAAGTATCTGCTCGCGTCCTTCTATACCACCTTCCTCTGGTTAACCTTTCCTTGACTTTCCAGTAATAATTACCCTAATCCTGGGGTTTGGACGCAACAAAAACATATATTTTAATTATTATATTGTTTATTACTTGTCTCTTTTTCATATACGAGTTATATGTTGCTTATAAATATAATAATTTTTATGCTTTTATTATAGATATCACAAATTTAATTAAAAAAGTAATTGCTCATAATCACACTGCACTTATCGTGAAGGAATATGCATCAATATCACTTCCTTCGGATTCTAATATCGTTGATTCTATCAGAGCTGAATCACCTGATTCCGAAATACAGTGGTCCCATAATGGGATTTTGATTCAAAACAATCATCATGAATTAAAAGTTAAAGATTATGAAATTAGTACGTAATACAATATTTATTCGTAATAATTAATTATGTAACGATTAATTTATTATGTAACAACTGATTATGTATTACCTGAAAAGTGACATGTAACTTTGTTAATTTTTGCAGTAATAAATAGAGCAGTATTAAACGACTCAGGCGTATATACGCTCACTGTACATCGAATAGATGGTACATATATGATAATTAAAGTGATTACTTTGGCAGTAATCCCGATCAAGGAAAGCATTACAATTCGCGAAACTTTATCTATGCATGTGGTATGCCACTGTGCTGTCCTCGGTTACGTATATTCTGATTTGAAAGTTTACTGGACAATTGATAATAACGTATGGAAAGACTATGGAGTCACATTGCCCGTAGCTGTAAATGTTGATTATATTCCCATTGTAAATAAATCTCATCATGGTACATGGAAATGCATTGTGGAGCAAACTGACTTAAATTTTAAATGGACGACAAATGTAATTAATGTAAAAGGTATTACTTCACAAAATAATATCAAGAGACATGATAGTATTTCGCGCCAAGTGTACGCGCAGAGAGACACAGACCGTGTATCTATACGCATACACTTGACGCAACTGAACCGATTAAATTCTGAGTAGGCTCAATCGGTAGCTTTGAATTATATAATTATAAAGTTTTTTTTATAACCTAAAGTACATTCGTAAATTGCCAACAATATAAAAAAAATGAACGCGTGGTCGCCACGCGCGTTAGAAGTGAAACTTCTGAAGGCAAAGCTTTGCCATAACTTTTCTGAAATTAATACAAAAACAGTACAACGGAATTAGTCACTCCAAGCCGCCCGCAACTCGAAAATATAGTGTTACACGCAGTTCTCACTATATCCGTCTCGCCAGTGCCGTACGCCTGATCGAATGTTCGTGACGCGTTTTTGAGTCGCAAAATCGAATTTACTTACCGATCCAAAAGGAGTTTCACTTTGTACGCCTGTTGGTCGAATTTTCGTGACACTATTTCGTGACGTTTTTTCGTGTCGCACAATCGAACTTACTACCGTGCCAAAGAAGTTTCATTTTGTACGTCTATTGGTCGAATTTTCGTTACACTTTTCGTGTCGCGAAATTTGTGTCGCATAATCAAACTTACTACCGTGCCAGGCCAGAAGAAGGACTGTCTCGCCAACGCCGTACGCCTATTGGTCAAATTTTCGTTACACTTTTCGTGTCGCGAATCGAACTCACTACCGTGCCTAAAGAAGTTTCACTTCAATAAACAATTAAGCTTTTATTTCATCCGGCTATAATTGGCAAATAATCATCGTGACGATTCGACCATTGGTTTTGGTTCTTTATTCGTCAAGACGTTAATAAATCTTTGATACTTATATATGGGGCATTCCACGCCAATTCGCGAGGGGTCAAACTTCGACCTTTTTATTTTTGATGGCGGTTCGTTTTTTAGCAGATTTTTACAAGTACTATACCCATGTAAGAGCGTTTCTATAATAAATGTAGCGTTTCTGAAATAGAGCCTGCGCAAAATGAGGACTACAAGATTTTCAATAAATTTTTTCGCCTATTAGACAACGTCTAAAAAAAAATTCATTGAACATATATATGTCTTTATTTCAGCTATACGCCAAGAAAGGACTTGGTTTACAATTCCACTTAACTCACACATCCATCCACGCATCAAACAACATTCTTCTTTACAAACAAGCCGCAATACATTATGATTTACATTATTTACAATCGTTATCTTTTTTGTAGCATTCCTCTTTCCTTTTCCATAATCTATTTAGCACCTTTCCTTTTTTCATTCTAAATTTGTCATCGCATATATTCTCTAATCGTTCTCCGTTATTCCTACCTAAATTCTCAAACCACATACTTGTGATCTTGCACTCGCTTATATAATGCTCTAAATTGTCCCTACCTGACTTACAGAATCTCACTTCGTATCTTCTTCGTCCAGCTAGTATTTATTTGCGTCCTCAAAATTACCGCACCTTAATTTTACCATTGTTCTAATCTCGTCTCCTGTTTTCTATTTTCTTTATCCAAGTTCGCTTTTAATAAATAACTCGGCGTTTTGTTTGTCACCTCTATATCTTTGTACCTTGTATTATACCTTGCCTCTACTATTTTACTGTTTATTATTTGCCCTTGAATATCCTGTTCCCTTATTTTTACTAAGCCTTCAGTATTTTTACCTTTATTATTTAATTCTTTTATTGCTTCAGAGCTCCAACCATTGCTATTATAAAACCTTTCCCGTTCCAAATTATATAAATCCTTTTTCTTTTTATCCCTTGTGTCCTTTTCATTCCAACATGCCTTTACTAAACTTCCATCTTTTTTCCCTTTGCTTCTTTTCTCGAACCTCATGGCTCTTATACCCCAACAGATTTTAAGTTTCTCTAATCCTAGTTCCCTTAGTATTACATACCTTGGTGTGCAAAAATCTAGTCTAAATATCCATCTTACATAATCTAAAATGACTTTTTCCAACTCCTTTTTTTCACTCCATTCCCATATCTCTGCTCCGTATTCCATCACACTTTTCACTAGGTATTTAAAAAGCGTCCATCTCCTATTAAAATCATCTTTGCATAATCTTTCTCCTAAACCTTAGACCCTATTTGCAGCGATCCTTCTTTTCCTTTTCAGTTTTTTTATATGATCGCCATAATTACCTTTCCTATTAAACGTGAATCCCAGATATTTGAACATTTCTACTTCCTCTATTATTTTATCGTCCCATTTCCACGTCTTCCTGCCTTTTTTACCTTTACTCAAATTAAATACCAACTTTAGTTTTTTCTGTACTTAATTCTAGTTTCCTTTCTTTTAAAAATTTTTTTAACATGCTCATCATATCTAGTAAAGCCTCTCTATTTTTCGCTACCAAAACCATATCATCCGCGTATGCTAATGACCACACTCTTACTACTCCTAGCTCTACCCCTCCTATGCCACGGTTTTCTAAAGCTTTATCAATGTCCGCAATGTATAAATTAAACAGGGCGGGACTCATCACACAGCCCTGCCTTACACCTTTCTTCGTCTTGAAGCACCTTGTGAACCCATCCTTTGTCCTTATTGTCACCTCCGTCTCTTTGTAAATTTCTTTTATCTTGTTTATTAAACTGCGTTCCACCTCTTTCTCTTCCATTATCTTCCATAAAATTTCTCTGTCAACGTTGTCAAATGCTGCCTTTAGATCCACAAATATTGCGAAAATCTTGTCTTTCCAAGTTGCCGCATTTTTCTCCTTCTCCCTTTGCACTATATGGTTCAAGATAAATATATTATCCATCGTGGACCTCCCTTTCCTAAAGCCGGCTTGGCTGTCAGGTATCATTCCTTTCCTCTCCATTATTTCCTCTAATCTGTTCTTTAGAATTTCGGCATATACCTTGTATGCAGTGCACAGCAGCGAGATCCCTCTGTAGTTCTCTGTTCGCTCTTTATCCCCTCTTTTATATAGGGGGACAATGCTATGCTTGTTCGCCATTTGGTCGAAATTTTGCTTTCCTTCCAAATGAGCTTCAACAGATCAATTAAACCTCCTCTTACCGCTGCGCCACCATACAGCCATGCTTCCATTGGGATTCCATCGACACCTGCAGCTTTGCCTAGCTTCATGTTCCTGACTGCCCTCACTATTTCCTCTTCTTGCAGCTTTTTATCTGTATCTTGAACCTGCTCTTCATTTCTTTCTTCTGTTCCCATGGCACGCATCTCCAACGCCTCTTCCCTTCCTACCATCTCGGTCCTACCTAACAGCTCCATGAAATAACTTCTCCAGTTCTTTTTCGAAATATTATTCTCTTTCCATTCTTTTTTCTTTCTTCGACTGTTTATATAGTTCCAAATTTTCTTTTCGTCCTTCAGTTTTCTTAATTCCTCTTCTTCCCTCATTCTCTTCTCCATCCTTTTGCTCTCTAACCACCCCTTCAGGCATTTCTTTTCTTTCAAATAGTCTTTCTTACTTCCCTTTCCACATCTCCACCTTCTGTACTTTCTTTTCACCTCCCTCTTCTTTCTGGTACAACTCCTATCCCACCAATCTTTGTGCCCTATTTTCCTTCTCTTCTTTACCTTAATATCCTTATACACTAAGGCTCCAAGGATTCCGTTTTTTAATTTCTCCCATTTCCTATCCACCGACTCCATTTCCTGGTCCTCGGTTTCATTCCATACCTCCGTCCTCTCCCTGTATAATTGCTTTGCCTCTTCGTTCCAAACTATGATCTTCTTTGACATATTCCGTTCCTCTTCTTCCTCTTCAGTACACCCCTCCATTTGTCTCGTATTTTCCTCTTCCTGTAGTAACAAGGTCAGAGGCAAATGATCCGAGTCCACCCTGTCCCTTATTCTAAATTCCAACACTCGTTCTTGCGCACTATCATTTACAATTGTATAATCGATTACCGAGCACCCTCTCGCACCCACGTACGTATATTTCCCCTCCCAATCCCCCTCTGTACATCCGTTCAAAAAATACTATCCTTTTTCATTTATCATATCCACAAAACTTCCGCCGCCATTTTCTATAACTTTATTTTTACTCTCCTTTTCAAAGTCATACTCCTCCTCCCTACCACCTCCTAAGTTTCCTATTCTAATATTAAAATCACCTCCTATAATAATATCCTCTCCTTCGCATCCTTCGCATTGCTCCGTTATTTTTGCCATTATCTCTTCAACGTCTTTCTTTGCTCCTACATTGTATACTGTAAAAATATTTAGCCCTTTTTCTTCTTTTGCTATTCTCCTTCGCGCAATTCTTTCTGTAATCATTGTACATTCATAATTCTCCACTTCCGCCATCCAGCCTTTTCTAATACCTATTAGTAATCCTCCCTTCGCCCTACCCTTCCTTTTTTCCTTTACAGCGTTAATGTTTTTCCAAATGTGCGTTTCTGGCAATCTACCCTTAATTCTATCCCATCCCTTTTCTTCTAACCATATTTCACATAGTCCTATAAAATTGAAACCTACTATGTAATTCCAACAATCTTTGTCCTGCCTCTCTATACCTGCTACATTCCAAAAAATTATTTTTCGCTCATTTTATTTCTTCATCTTCTTCACTTTTCCATCCTTCATTCGTGTTGTTTGCCTATTGTCTTCTTGCATGCCTCGACTTACTGATACTCTTCTCCTAACTTGGCAGTCCTCTAGAAATTTTCCTTTTCTATTATCTTATTTTCTTCCTCGCTCCATACGTACTTTCTACCTTGTATCTCTAGCTTCCTAAAACCTATTTTCACCTATTTTTCTTCTGTTTTCTCTTTCAATGCCCTTTCTTTTATCCGTTTTTGCACTTCTCTGTCCTCAAAGGTCAAATCGTGATCAATGAAAATTTTCTTACTTCCCAGTTTCTTTTTCTCCTTCATGATGTTATCCTTTGCTTCCCAGCAGTCCATTTCGACTATTATTATCTCTCCTCCTACTCTGCCTGATGGCCGCATTTTCTTCACTCGCGCTCTTGCACCAAACTCCAGAAACGTCTTCGCTGTGTCTATTAAGCTCTTGTTTTCCTTTTTATGTAGTCCTCTGATCACTAAATTATTTTTCTTTTCCTTCCTTTCCTTCAAATTTCTTTCTCTCTTCCTCACCATCTCCGCCACCTTTCCCACGATCTCCTCCATTTTGCCGCTGGTCGTTTCATCCGTTATGCTTTCACTCCTTTGTTCGATCTTCGATAGCCTCACTTCTATCTTATCCATTCTTTCCTCTACTTTTTCTTCTTTTTTTCTCCGACCCTTTTCTAAGACGTTCATCCTTTCTCTCATCTCTCTCATCTCTTCCCTCAGGTCCCTCATTTTGTTTTTAATCTCTCTCAAGACTGCTAGTAGCGAACCGTCCTCCTCATCCTTCTTTGTTGCTGACAGAACTCCTTCCTCTTCTCTCTTCTTACCTACCACACCGGCTCCATCCTTCGCTTTGTCCGTACCTGGTGGCGTTCTCACTGTCTTGTTATCTCTCTTGAAAATTTCCATCGTACGTTGTTCGTTTTCCTCTCTTTTCCTCTTGGCTTTTGCTAACTCGCATGCCGTACTGTTATCACTTGTCATAAACTCCAGTATGCTGAGCGAGCCCGATCTTTCTCTTCTTCTTAACCCTCCTTTGTAAGTTTTCCTTTTCCTCTTTTTTCTTTTTTTGGTATGGCAAAAACTTCCTTATCCGTTTTCTCACTGCATGAGCAATCCGACACTGTAACCGGATTCTCATCTTTATTCGTTATTGCTGCCTTCTCACACTCACCTGTCTCTCCCTCCATCCTGTGCGCCCCGCGTGCACGCTCTTCTTCCAGCCAATCTCCTTAACCGCTACTTCTATGCCTAGACCGTTCCGTCTAGTGTCTAGTGTCGCTACCTACTCTATGCGTGGCGCAAATCTCGCTCCCTTTTGGAACGCACCGCGATTTTCTCCCGCTTTCTCTCACCTAACCTCTCCTCTCTCTAAAATATTTAGCGCTCTTTTCCTTCACTAATTAATACTTCCCTGCTGCATCTATTATCCTATCCTAAATTTAAGCTCTTCTTCCTACCTTTCTCTCGGTTTATCGCTTACCTCGTATCCAATTTCTCTCTAAACTCTCGCCTAATTCATCCGCAACTCTCACACGCATGCACAACACACTCGCTCCACTAACCAAGTCCAAATTCATTGAACATAAAATACGATATTTTGATCATATTTTTTAAAAAAATTACTATATTTAATAAAATTTTTATATTAATATTGTTAAACAAATAGAGTAAAAAACACAAAAAAATTTGAATATCTTAAAAACCCCATTTTCTATTATTTTGAAATTTATAAGGAATATTCTAACGAGTATTAGAAAAATTTTAAGACCGGTTCGAAGTTGCGCAGAAAATTTGGAAATTTTTTATAAATTTTTTTGTAAGGCAGACAGAAATACCGTGGCTTCGCACGAACTTGCGCGCGGTCTCGAGCGGACTCGAGCTTCAACACAATATAACCAGTAAGTCAACGTAACTAATTGTTCTGCTTTGCGCCGATCCGTACTGTGCATCGACATGTTGTTGGGCGCGCTATGGTCCCGGTTTTATTCACATTCTTACTAAGAAGGGCTTATAGGTATAAATACATGTACAAAATCACTTAGCGTCTCTTCACGTCACTGATTTCACAGTTTTCCATTATTTGACCTGAAACGTACGAAAATTCACTGTAGCGTCACACCGACTTTGCATTACTAAAATCATCTGATTGGCGCGCCCAACGTGTGTGTGTGTGTGTGTGTGTGTGTGTGTGTATGGTTAAAACCAAAAATACTTTTTGATTTTTAAATGGAGATATTTTTTTGGAGAGATTTTTTCCAGGAGAGATTTTTTCCGGAAACCGAAATGACGGTTACCCAACATGTTGATGCGCAGTATAGATTGGCGCAAAGCAGAATAATTAGTCAAGTTGATTTACTGGTTATACTGTGTTGAAGCTCAAATCTGTTCGAGGCCGCGCGCAAGTCCGTGCGAAGCCACGGTACCTCTGTCTGCCTTACAAAAAAATCTATAAAAAATTTCCAAATTTTTTGCGCAACTTCGGATCGGTCTTAAAATTTTTCTAATACTCCCCAGAATATTCCTTATAAATTTCAAAATAATAGAAAATGGGATTTTTAAGATATTCAAATTTTTTTGTGTTTTTTTTTTACTCTATTTGTTTAACAATATTAATATAAAAATTTTATTAAATATAGTAATTTTTTTTTAAATATGATTAAAATATCGTATTTTATGTTCAATGAATTTTTTTCTTAGACGTTGTCTAATAGGCGAAAAAATTCATTGAAAATCTTGCAGTCCTCATTTTGCGCAGGATCTATTTCGGAAACGCTACATTTATTATAGAAACGCTTTTACATGGGTTTAGTACTCATAAAGACCTGTTAAAAAACGAGCCGCCATCAAAAATAAAAAGGCCGAGGTTTGACCTCTCGTAAATTGGCGTGGAATGCCCCATATATAAGCATCTCATTTTTTAAATAATTTAAATTAAATTAAATTATTAAATTTATTGCCAAAAAATATTACCTCAGCCAGGGTTCAAACCTGGAACCTTCCTTATTCCGTGTAGGGCGTTGTACCAATTCGACCATTGATGAGGCACGTCTTGACGAATAAAGGACCAAAACCAATGGTCGAATCGTCACGATGATTATTTGCCAATTATAGCCGGGTAAAATGAAAGCTTAATTGTTTTTTTTTATAAATTATAAAAGTGTTTTTATTTTTCGTTTACGTGTTCTACGAGCGAAGATATTACGATGCAAAGTTTGAAATACGTAAACATCAATAAGAATATTTCTTGAAATCTCTTTAGAATAGTTTTATCTTTTTTTTTTTAAGTCTCTCATCTTCTTTTTATCTAAAAATATAGAGATGGCACAAAGAGCATTCTGTTTTTACTTTTTAATTATTTTAAGTTTAGATGTGCAGATGATTAGCCTATATAGCATCCTAGTTTAAATGGGGGGGAGGTACACATTGCCAGTTGCTACGTATGGACCAATGGCTTAAGCCTTAAATGTCTCTTTTGAAAGACGGAGCCCAGTTTCTCTGCACAAAAGTTCCTTCGTTAACTTCTCGTGCGGGACAGTTTAAAACATAAAAATTCTTGTGATCAGTTGAACTCAAACCTGATTTTTCGCGGGGATCCTATAGCGAAGGCCGAACTTCCTTGACGTCGGTAATGTCAACATTTCTAATCCTGTTTTCTATGTTATATATCTATGTCTGTCCTTGTCTAACCAGAGGCATCTGTCTTTGTTCGATTGCTGCGCCATCTCTCGCTACACGCAATACTGCTTATCCTGTCAACCTAAATGTGCTTTGCTTAATAAAACTTCATTTTACGGAATCTTTTTTTCTAGACGTTAAATCTTAGTTTTATTTACACGATATTGTTCCTACATGTTGTCCCTACGTCGCCTTGGTGTCATTATATATATATAAACTGCAGTAATTTTGTTATTGTCGTCAGATGACAGTTGTATGTGCCCAAATTAGTAAAATTTTTAATTTTTTTTGTTCCCGATATGAAATCGTACAACGCGATGTAGATTTTTGTGCGTACTTTAATTCTAGACCAAAAACTTGCAATTCTGTAAAGCCAATTCAAAAATTCCTTAAAATGAAAAAA